TACCTATGACTGTGATTGTATCCAATACCTATGATAATCTATATGATCATCAATCACACATCATACTAGTCTTATTATGTCATCATTCCCATAATGACACAAGACTAGGGAGTTTAGTATCATTCATAATGATACATGGATTTCATAACACATCTAGTATACAAGAACATGTAATGAATCAAATACTCTCATAAAACCATAGACAGTATCAATACATCAAATGTATCTGATTAAAGCTCATAAACAGTACATCATAGAGCACTAAACCAACAATTAGAACATGACGAGTCTGCCATATACCCAGAGGCCATGGCGAGTCCCGATTCCGAGAAATGGCGCGAGGCTATGAAGTCCGAGATGCAATCCATGTCAGACAACCAAGTATGGACTCTGGTTGATGTATCTGAAGGGATTAAACCCATCGGATGCAAGTGGATCTTCAAGAATAAGACCGACATGGATGGCAACGTGCACACGTATAAGGCACGACTTGTGGCGAAAGGATTTCTGTCAAATTCATGATATTGACTATGATGAGACATTTTCGCCTGTAGTTATGCTGAAGTCCATCAGGATCCTGCTTGCCATAGTCGCATATTACGACTATGAGATATGGCAAATGGATGTCAAGACCGCGTTCCTTAACGGGAACTTGACCGAGGATATGTACATGACACGACCCGAAGGTTTTGTCGATCCAAGGAACCCGGGAATGGTGTGCAAGCTTCAAAGGTCCATTTATGGACTGAAGCAGGCTTCGAGGAGTTGGAATCTTCGCTTTGATGAGACAATCAAAAGGTTTGGTTTCTCACAGAACGAAGACGAGCCGTGTGTTTATAAGAAGGTCAGTGGGAGCACAGTAGTATTTCTAGTGTTGTACGTGGATGGCATTCTCCTTATAGGGATGTGATAACACATATATATTTATATATTTTTGTATAGATATATATCATAATTTCGTAAGATTTATATATTTATATATATTTGTTTTGTATAGTTTTACATCGAATTCGATGTTTTTCATGTTTTGCAGGAAAAATGGAACGCGTGTGGAAGCAACCGAAAAATTATGTTGAAACCGGGCTATATATATCATATGTGTAATTATGTATGTCGTGTGTATATATACTATATATAAGCATATATTACCTATATAAAATATATAATAGAACATATAAATAAGTATGTGTGTATATGTATATTATATATATGTATATAACGTGTATATATATATTGTGTGTATAATTATATTTATGTCATATAATATGTGTATCTATATACAGTATGTATATATATATAAATATTATGTAAGATACATATATATAGATATAATATAATATTATATATATAGTATGCATATATGATGTGTGCATATATAAATATAATATACAAATGTATTAATATATATATATATGCAAATTTAATGCATGTATTTTAGTACATAATTATATAGAAATATATGTCTATGTGTATTTGTATATGTATATAATTATATATATTGTGTATAATATACATACGTTGTCTATATATAATACATGCATGTGTGTATATATAATTATAAATATCAACGTGATGCATGCATATATTATAATAAGAATAACAAAAAGGAAGAAGAAGCTAACGTGGAAGAAAGAAGACAAGAGAGCATCATTATTATGTCTCCGACACCTTTTGTTCGATTTGCGGTAATCAATAAAACAAAAACAAAAAAAGAGAATGTGAGACCACCTTTTGAAGCTCTTTAAAGACGCAGAGAAGAGGACGGAGGGAGACACAGAGAGACATTCAACAGAATATATTCGACAGACGAAGAAAAATCACAGAGAGAGTTGCAGAGAGAGACGAGAACATCATCAGAGAGAAGGAATAACAGACCCGTCCAACCTGCAGAAAACACTGAGAATTCTCTTTCTTTGTCTTTTATATTTATCATTCTTCTTGGATTTTTGTTGTTATGATTTCTATCATGTGTGAGTAGTTTTATCATTGCAGATTAGGGATTGAACGATTTGTAAGGATCGTACGTGTTTAATTAATTTTAGTAACTATGTGTTATTTTCTTAAAAACTTTCACTCACAATCTGTTTTTTGAATGAATGCAGAATTAGAAACAAAGAGATTTTGCTGAAAATATATATGCATCCATTACGTTTTTATTTTGTTCTTACAAACATATATAAAACAACACATAACTGATGTAAGTTACAACTTTAACTTCAAAATACAAAATACAAACTGATCATTAACTGCTAAAATAAAAAACTGCTTTTACAAACTTTTTTTTTACACGTCAGAACCTCGTCAATTTTCAGCTTCTCTTGCACAGGCTTAAGTCATTTTCTAACACTCCTCCTTGACTCATGCCATCTCCAACATACCAATTTGCACATTCAATCTCTTTCGGCATAAGTTCTTCATTCTTTTCACTTGTAGGATTAAAACAGTAACTTTCATTTTCCATTCGAATCTTGAACAGAACTTCATTTGTATCATTTCTAATGATAACTCATTTTTGTCGAAAATCACTTTATACCCTTTTTCAACTAACTTAACAACACTCAAAATGTTTTGATCAATCTGAGGTACAAATAGCACATCAGACAACAACTCGTAATTTTCTGATCCTTTGATCAAAACATCACCTTTCCCTTCAACATAAATGATTTCACCATTTCCTATTCTCACTTTCGACTTGAACGAAGTGTTTAACTTCTCAAATAAACTCTTATCTCTTGTCATATGATTCGTGCATCCACTATCCACCAACCATCCATCTTTGACAGCATTTGAAATGAAACAAGATGCGACAAAAAGATTTTCTACCTCATTTGTCTCTGTCGGTTGTGCTTCGGCAATTTGCGGCATTTCAGTTCGACAAAACTTCTCAATATGACCCGGTTTGCTACATCTCCTACACTTGAAATCTGGTCTTTTCCAACATTTCTAGTGAGGATGGTTTGTTCTCTTGCAATGCTTACATGGCTCGAATACACTCTTGTTTTCTCCAGCATCAAAATTCTGATTCGGTCCCTTACACTTTTGAGCATTCCAGTTCTTTACACTTGCCTTCAACGCACCTTCAACAGATTCATCGCTCCTCATAATCATTCTCTGTTCTTGTGCTTGCAAGGCACTTTGAACTTCAGCAAGTTTCAAATCTGAAAGTTTCTTCGTATTTTCCAGAGATGCGATAGTTGCTTCAAAACGTTCTGGTATTGACACCAACACCTTCTGCACTATTCTTTTGTCTTCAATCTCTTCGGCAAGAATCCTTATTTTGTTCACAATGCTTACCAACCGATCTATGTAATCCTTGACAGATTCACTTGTCTTCATTTGTTGTCTTTCAAACTCCCTGAACAAGTTGAGAACTTTCATTCCCCTGATTTTCTCATCTCCCTCGTACTCCTTCTTCAGGAAATCCCACACTCCTTTTGCTGTTTCCAACGACATTATCTTCGTGAACACCGATTGAGAAACTGCAGAGAAAAGACATGATACCGCCTTTGCTTTTCTCGTTACCTTTTCTTTGTGGATTCTTATTTGATTCACTGTTGGATTTGCACCGAGAGGAGGAACCTCGTCATCCTCTTCAACGGCTTCCCATAAGTCTGCTCCTTTCTGATAGTTTTCTCCATCGAACATTGGTTTGACAGCCCATATCTGATAGTCTTCTCCATCGAACATTGGTGCGGCCAGATTTGACAATGTCGAAGAACTTGATCCATCGTTTTGCTCCATTTGCTCACCGATTTTGTTTTTTTTTTCACAGATTTTATTTTTTCCCCTCACAGATCCCAACAAGATAAAAATGCTCTGATACCACTGTTATTTTCTTAAAAACTTTCACTCACAATCTGTTTTTTCAATGAATGCAGAGTTAGAAACAAAGAGATCTTGCTGAAAATATATATGCATCCATTACATTTTTCTTTTGTTCTTACAAACATATATAAAACAACACATAACTGATGTAAGTTACAACTTTAACTTCAAAATACAAAATACAAACTGATCATTAACTGCTAAAATAAAAAACTGCTTTTACAAACTTTTTTTTACACGTCAGAACCTCTTCAATTTTCAGCTTCTCTTGCACAGGCTTGAGTCATTTTCTAACACTATGGTTTTATAATTTGGATCGAATAAATAGATTTTAATGCTACAATTTATTTTGGCCAATTGAATTGTTGAAGTTAGAATTTAAATATACATAGAGATATGAAATTTGAATTCGGAAATCATTTATTCGATTGGTAATTTTCGCATCGAGAGATGGTTGCATTGCCTAGAAATTATGATAGCAGATTTAATGATTTTTAGGAATTTTAATCTATTCAGAACCGAGAGGTCGGTAGAATAAATTCCTAGAAAATAAGGTGAGACTCTAGAGGGTAATCCTTTACAAATACGGACTTGAATTTTCTAAATTACGACCATAGTTACCGAAATATATCTTTAGGAACGATCCTTACATAACCGGAAAAATCCCGATACCTATAATGTCTTAATTAAATTGTGTTAAAATCGTTGTTTGTATTTGCTTTAAATAATATTTACATTTAATCACCATCATCAGCACTCAAAATCTATCACCAAGACCAAAAACCGAGTAGAACCTGTAATTGATATCGTTGAAACCATCTGTGTCCCTGTGATCGACTCTAGAATACTACAATTGACTAGTGCACTTGCGGTAGTTATCTAGGAAATTAAACGAGATCTGATCATACCCTAGATCGACATCAAGTTTTTGGCGCCGTTGCCGAGGACGCAAAACAACTTTAGCGATACGATTAGGAAACTGTTCGGTTTAGGTCATCTTTTTATTTCCTTTTGTTCCATTTGATCTTCACCTTTTCTCGTCGTTGTTCCATTCGTTTTTGTCTGCAGGATTTCTCCAGTGTATGACAAGTAGTGCTGAGTCGGAAAATCTTGTTCCTTTTGACCCCGAAATTGAGAAAACTGCTAAACAAAATCGAAAAAAACAACGAGAGAGGATGGCAGAACGCGGTGTTGTACCCGCACATGGAGATGAGCGCATAACTGAAGAAACCTTCGCGCAGTACAATGCCCCGAAACACACTGAGCTCATGTCTAGCATACGGATGCCGGAGGTTGACATGACAAGATTCGAGCTCACTCCCCCCACTATCCAAATGTTGAGCGCCATGGCCTTCCGGGGTAGGTCAAATGAAGATCCCAACGCGCACCTCACGAGGTTCAAAATGATGTGCCGGTCCATCAAGAGAGCCGATCAAGTAACTGAAGATGCAATCCGCCTAATCGCTTTCCCATGGACATTGATCGATGCAGCGCTCGACTGGCTCTATGAACTCGAACCGGATTCCATTCGTACATGGAACCAACTAGAGAGTCAGCTCATGCAATGCTTCTTCTTCCCACACCGCACTCAAGCCGCCTTGAACAGTATCCACTCGTTCAAGAAAGATCATGGGGAGAGTCTGCACGAAGTGTGGAAAAGATACAAGGGCTATCAAAAATCATGCCCTCATCACGACCTCGACAAGAACTACCTGATCAACACGTTCATCAGAGGTCTACGGTCGGACACCCGGACATTGATCCGAGCCGCCTGCGGAGGAAGTATTTCTCACATGTCCTTCACGGATCTTGAACAACACATTGATCAAATGGCGAGAGAAGAAGATTCTCCATTGGAGTCCGTAAGAGATATGCCCAGGAGAGATAGCAATTCTAAGTTGCAGCAGGTGCTAGACGAGCTGACCGCGCTAAAGACGAAACTCGCTAATGCAAGCTTTGTCTCATCCACTAGCACATCAGGTGTGCAGCAAGGCGAACTTGCTTTGTACGCTGTTGATGAAGGGATAGAAGATGTGAATTATGTCGCCAACAACCCCTATTCCAACACGTATAATCCAGGGTATAGGAACCACCCGAACCTCTCCTGGAGGAACAACAACGTCCTGAACCCTCCGCAAAATAATTGTCGGCCAATGCAGAACCAGAACCAGCGGATTCCACCAGGGTTCGCCTTTCAGCCGCGGGCCCCACCAATGCAGAATCAAGGGCCGATTCAGAACCAACCATACACACCTCCGGTTCAGAATTTTCGAGCACCCGCACCTCCACCGCCACAACAAGACGGTGACTCGGAGATCAAAGCAATGTTAGCACAGCTGTTACAAGGACAAAAGACGCAAGAAACGGTGCTACATAGCCTGAAGATGGACCAAGAGGAGGTAAAGAATCAAGTAGGGAGCATGCAACCTCAAGTGGATGGGATGCAGTCGCATCTAAAATTACTCGATAACCAGGTAGCCCAGATGGCCTCGACGTCCCAGAGACCGAGTGGGTCACTTCCCGGGATACCTGAGGTCAACCCACGAGAGCATTGCAATGCTATCACTCTGAGAATTTGCAAGCAACTTGAAGAAGTCACTTCACCGATGATGGAAAGGGGGCAAAGCTCCAAAGGCAAAGAGGTCGTGAACGAAGAAGCTGAGGAAGTCTATGTTCCTCCACCACCAAGACCTCCACCCATTCCTTTTCCATCCCGTCTCAAGAAGCATAACGAGGACCGGCAATTCGCGAGATTTGCCGAAATGCTGAAAAAGCTTGAGATCACCATGCCTTTCACAGAAGCCATCCTGCAGATGCCGTCTTACACGAAGTTTCTCAAGGACATACTCACGAAGAAGAGAGTCGTGGAAAAAGAGACGGTATCGCTCAACACTGAATGAAGTGCGCTAATTCAGCATGAGTTACCCCCAAACGAGCTGACCCAGGAAGCTTCTCGATACCCTGCAAATTGGGTAATGTCTCCATTGATAGAGCATTATGTGATCTCGGAGCCAGTGTTAGCCTTCTCCCGCTATCGATATTCAAAAAGCTGAATGTGGGAGAGTTGAAGCCGACAAGGATGGCGCTCCAGCTTGCTGACCGATCGGTGAAATATCTCGCTGGGATATTAGAAGACGTACCACTTAAGGTGGGAAACTTCTACGTACCAGTCGATTTCGTGGTGTTGGACATGGACGAGGACTCGAGAGTACCGACCATCCTTGGTCGTCCATTCCTTAACACCGCAGATGCAATCATCCATGTAAGAGCTGGAAGGCTAACGATGAATATTGGTGATGAGACAGTGGAGTTCACGCTTGATCAGAACCTCAAGCAACCATCTGTCATGGAGTCTTCGTACTTCATTGACATGATCGAAGTTTTGACGGAGGAGGTATTTGGTCAATTGCAAGATCGCGATCGCCTGAAGACGATGCTCCTAAACCCTGAGAAAACTGACAAAGAGCACATATGGACCTTTAGCTAAATCCTGGATGCACCTGACGTACCCCCGATGGATCTATCAAGGTCCTCGATTCAGGCTATCCTGTCCTCTGAGGGTGACGTCGATCTTGAGATAGATGCCACTAACCGAGCCCAAGAATCCAAAGAGACTCCAGTCATCACATCTTCTCTACTTAGTCCCGACTGGAGTCGAGAAGATGCACCGGAAGTGGAACTGAAGCCCTTACCACAAGGGCTTAGGTACGAATTTCTCGGCTCAGACCGAACTTACCCTGTGATTATCAGTTCTTCCTTGGATGATTCTCAGGTGCAGGAGTTGTTGGACACACTCCGGAGATATAGGAAGGTCATAGGGTACACAATCGCAGACATCAAGGGAATCAACCCTTCCCTTTGCATGCACATGATCCATCTAGAATATGAGTCCAAAACCTCCATTGAGCATCAACGACGCCTCAATCCGATGCTGCAAGAAGTGGTGAAGAAGGAGATAATGAAACTTCTCGATGCATGTATCATTTTTTCTATCTCTGATAGCCATTGGGTGAGTCATGTACAGGTCGTTCCGAAAAAGGGAGGAATGACGGTGGTCACCAACGAAAAGAACAAGCTCATTCCGACGAGAACGGTTACCGGTTGGCGCATGTGTATCGATTATCGGAAATTGAATGCCAACACGAGGAAGGACCATTTTCCACTGCCATTCATCGACCAGATGCTAGAACGCCTTGCTCTACACTCGTACTTCTGCTTCCTCGACGGGTACTCAGGTTTTTTCCAGATCCCCATTCATCCTAATGATCAGGAGAAAACTACATTTACTTGCCCGTACGGAACTTATGCCTATCGTCGCATGCCGTTTGGATTGTGTAACGCTATTGCAACATTCCAACGGTGTATGATGGCCATATTTTCTGATGTGATCGAGGAGTCGATGGAGGTGTTTATGGACGATTTCTCCGTTCATGGACCCTCCTTCGACATGTGTTTGATGAATCTTTCTCGAGTGTTAGACAGATGCTCACAGGCGAACCTGGTACTCAACTGGGAGAAATGCCATTTCATGGTCCGCAAAGGAATTGTTTTGGGCCACAAGATCTCAGAAAAGGGGATTGAGGTTGACAAGGCCAAGGTCGAGGTGATCGAGAAACTGCCACCACCGCACAATGTCAAAGCCATCTGCAGTTTCTTGGGCCATGCGGGGTTTTATAGGAGGTTCATCAAAGACTTCTCAAAAATCTCGAAGCCGCTCACTGACCTGCTTTGTAAGGACGCGCCGTTTATCTACAATGCAGAATGTGATGTTGCGTTCCAAACTCTGAAAAAGGCCTTGGTATCTCCGCCGATTATTCAGCCTCCAGATTGGGATCTCCCCTTTGAGATCATGTGCGATGCTAGTGACTACGCTGTAGGAGCAGTTTTAGGCCAGCGGAAGAACAAGCGATTGCACGCCATTTACTATGCTCGTCGCACCCTTGACGATGCTCAGATCAACTACACCACCACGGAAAAGGAGATGCTTGCCATAGTCTACGCTTTCGAGAAGTTCAGGTCTTATCTAGTCGGATCGAAAGTGATAGTCTACACTGATCACGCAGCTCTCCGATACCTTCTGTCCAAGAAAGACGCCAAGCCTCGACTCATCAGATGGACTCTTCTGCTACAAGAGTTTGATCTAGAGATCAGGGACAGAAAGGGGACTCAAAATGGTGTAGCGGATCATTTATCACGGCTTGAGATTCCGAACCCTTTGCCCATCGATGACTCATTGCGAGACGAGTGTGTCATGGCCATTTCAGTCCACTCCGAGGCTCCGTGGTATGCAGACTTTGTGAACTATCTGGTGAGTGGGTTGATTCCTCCAGAGCTGAAATACAATGGAAGGAAGAAATTCATTCATCACGTCCGAAATTATTTCTGGGATGAACCTTTCCTTTTCAAGAGAGGAAAAGACGGGATATTCTGGCGATGCATACCAGAAGAGGAGATTCAGAGCGTCATCGCTCATTGCCATTCTTCTGATTACGCCGGACATTTTGCTACATCGAAAACCGCTGCGAAAATGCCGCAACGGGAAACATTTCCCATAGACACGAGATGCCGCAACAGTACATCCTCGAGGTTGAGCCATTCGACATTTGGGGAATTGACTTCATGGGACCATTCCCATCATCCTGCGGGAATGTGTACATCTTGGTCGCCGTTGACTACGTCACTAAGTGGGTCGAAGCACTTGCAAATCCGAAGAATGATGCAAAGACAGTATTTCGGATGTTCAAGCGCACCATCTTTCCAAGATTTGGTGTTCCTCGAGTTGTCATTAGTGATGGTGGAACTCATTTTGTCAACCGGGTGATTGAACAACTCCTGAAGAAGTATGGAGTGCACATCGCATAGCTACTCCGTACCACCCACAGACGAGCGGTCAGGTTGAGATATCCAACCGCGAGATCAAGACCATATTTGAGAAGACAGTGTCATGCTCGCGGAAGGATTGGTTACAAAAGTTGGATGATGCAGTTTGGGCGTACAGAACAGCCTTCAAGACTCCCATCGGGATGGCTCTGTTCCAGCTTGTTTACGGGAAGTCTTGCCATCTACCTGTTGAATTGGAGCATAAGGCATTCTGGGCAGTGAAGGCATTGAACTACGACATGAAGACAGCAGCGGAGAAACGCCTTCTACAGCTGCACCACCTTGATGAGATCCGTCTTGACGCGTACGAGAATGCGAAGATTTACAAGGAACGCACAAAGAAATGGCATGATCGTCACATTCTTCGACGATCGTTCAAGGTAAATGACCAAGTCCTTGTTTTCAACTCACGTTTGCGTTTGTTTCCAGGAAAGCTTAAATCCCGATGGTCCGGTCCATTCACGGTGGAAGATGTTTCGAGCCATGGTGCGATCGAGCTTTGGGGACGAGATGGAGGCTCATTTAAGGTCAATGCCCAAAGAGTCAAGCTTTATAATCCGGCATTCCCGATCACCGAGAGAGGCATACTTCCTCTCTCTGACCCGTCCGAGAACTGAACCGAGAAGGTCAAGCTCACGACCCTAAATGAGCCTTTGTCGGGAGGGACCCTGATCACATATCCTTTGTGTTTGGTTTGTTTTATTTCATTTTCCTCTTTGTATATACTTTGTGCAATTGAATTTTCTTTTAAGGCTCAGATGGAAAACAACAACCGAGAACAACGAAACTCCTCACTCTCAGAAGAAAACGACTGAAGCTCCATGAGAACAGCTAAGTGTCTCCCTCTTTTCCATTATTTCCTACATATCATGAGTCGTTCCTCGACCACGAGGCGAGCTAACACCGACGACGGTGTTCAGTTCAAGTTTGGGGGAGAGATTCGATAGTCAATTACATCGATAATCATATTTTTAAGGTAATATGTACATATATATAGATATATGTAAAAAAAAAATTTGTGTGTATATATATATATGTACATGTATGTGTTTTGGATCGATAGAATTAGATTGTTTGAGAAATTTTGCGACCCGTATTAGGAATTTCTAAGTATAGAACGAATTGTCGACGACACTTAATACTGGTAGATCAGTTTTTAAGATAGAATTAGTTAGAATGTGGGGTAAATTGGTATTTGGAATTTTAAATAGATTTCTCCGTCTAAGTCAAGCGTTGTTATTCTTTTACCACATTTCTCATTTCAGAAGAAAAACTCTTCTAATAAATCCCGACACTCCTCTGTCAATTAACTCGTTATTGAACATCATTCGGGGACATGAGTGTTTATAAGCTCGGGTCTAAGTTGTGGGTCGAGCATGTGTATATATGTACATATGTGAGTTTGAAAAAAAAAAGATTCTGCTCGACAACTTCAACGTCCTAGAAGCATGGGACATTTTTTTCGGAAGAGTATCAAAAAGAAAAATGAGAATATGAGATATTTGAAAACATGTTTGATAAAGATTGGTCGAAAACCGAAGAATACTAAATAACAAACCCCGTCTCTAACTGATATTGTCGTATAGATTGAAAAGCCGTATAGAATGTCTTTGATTTCGTTCTCGGTTAGCATCATGTTCGATCTCTAATCTATTTCTATGATTCTTTTTAGTATTAGTTTCATTCATCAGTTTTTCGAGATTTATTTTGCTCGAGGACGAGCAAAACGCTAAGTTTGGGGGAGTTTGATAACACATATATGTTTATATATTTTTGTATAGATATATATCATAATTTCGTAAGATTTATATATTTATATATATTTGTTTTGTATAGTTTTACATCGAATTCGATGTTTTTCATGTATTGTAGGAAAAATGGAACGCGTGTGGAAGCAATCGAAAAATTATGTTGAAACCGGGCTATATATATCATATGTGTAATTATGTATGTCATGTGTATATACACTATATATAAGCATATATTATCTATATAAAATATATAATAGAACATATAAATAAGTATGTGTGTATATGTATATTATATATATGTATATAACGTGTATATATATATATTGTGTGTATAATTATATTTATGTCATATAATATGTGTATCTATATACAGTATGTATATATATATAAATATTATGTAAGATACATATATATAGATATAATATAATATCATATATATAGTATGCATATATGATGTGTGCATATATAAATATAATATACAAATGTATTAATATATATATATATGCAAATTTAATGCATGTATTTTAGTACATAATTATATAGAAATATATGTCTATGTGTATTTGTATATGTATATAATTATATATAGTGTGTATAATATACATACGTTGTCTATATATAATACATGCATGTGTGTATATATAATTATAAATATCAACGTGATGCATGCATATATTATATATGATATGCGTATGCATATTTATATATAATATGTATGTATATATATCTATATATATATTATAATAAGAATAACAAAAAGGAAGAAGAAGATAACGTGGAAGAAAGAAGACAAGAGAGCATCATTATTATGTCTCCGACACCTTTTGCTCGATTTGCGGTAATCAATAAAACAAAAACAAAAAAAGAGAATGTGAGACCACCTTTTGAAGCTCTTTAAAGACGCAGAGAAGTTCGACAGACGAAGAAAAATCACAGAGAGAGTTGGAGAGAGAGATGAGAACATCATCAGAGAGAAGGAAGAACATACCCGCCCAATCTGCAGAAAACACGAAAGGGACATCCTTACAAAGGAGATCGGTAAGAGGTTTAGTGATTTTGGAGAAATCCTTGATGAAACGACGATAGAAACCGGCATGACCAAGGAAACTACGGATGGCCTTAACATTGTGCAGGGGCGGTAATTTCTCGATCACTTCGATTTTAGCCCTGTCAACCTCGATGCCTTTGTCGGAGATTTTGTGTCCGAGAACGATGCCTTCTTGTACCATGAAATGACACTTCTCCCAATTGAGCACTAGATTGGCCTGTAAACACATCGATCCAAAACTTTACGAAGATTAGTCAAACAAACATCGAAGGAAGGTCCGTGGACAGAAAAATCGTCCATGAACACTTCCATCGAATCCTCAATAATGTCAGAGAAGATCGCCATCATGCATCGTTGAAAAGTAGCAGGGGCGTTGCAGAGCCCAAATGGCATGCGCCGATAGGTGAAGGTCCCGTAAGGGCAGGTGAAAGTTGTCTTCTCCTGATCATTGGGGTGAATAGGGATTTGAAAGAATCCCGAGTATCCGTCAAGAAAACAAAAATAGGAATGAAGAGCAAGACGTTCAAGCATTTGATCAATGAAAGGTAAAGGGAAGTGATCTTTGCGAGTGTTCGCATTTAACTTCCTGTAATCGATGCACATACGCCAGCCCATCACTATTCTTGTCGAAATCAGCTCATTTTTGTCGTTTTTGATCACCGTCATACAGCCTTTCTTTGGGACGACTTGAACCGGGCTTACCCAAGGGCTGTCAGATATAGGGTAAATGATACCTGCATCCAAAAGTTTTAGTACCTCTTTCTTGACGACTTCTTTCATCGATGGATTAAGTCTATGTTGATGTTCGATGGATGATTTGGAATCGTCCTCCAGATGAATTCGATGCATGCACAGTGAAGGGTTGAGACCTTTGATATCATCCAGAGTGTATCCGATAGCCTTCCGGTATTCTCGTAATATGGTGAGGAGTCGCTGAGCTGTAGATCATCCAAAGCAGTATTGACAATAACAGGATAAGTGGAATCGGGACCGAGAAATGCATACCTGAGTCCAATGGGCAAGGGTTTTAGTTCAAGTTTCGGGGCTATGCAGGGTCCCAGTCAGGTAGATGATGCATGGGGGTTGATTTGGCTGCGAAGACGGGCAACGGTTCGAACAAAGGAACAGACTGGAGATGAATCCGAGACTCGACACGGTCCGAGTTCACACTCGACACGGCCGTGTCGAGTTGTGCACGGGCTAGCCCATAATGATGCACGGGCGTGTCTAACTTCGCAAATTTGCTCAGACATTTGACACGGTCCGTGTCGAATGATGACACGGCCGTGTTGCAAGAAACACGGACTGAGCTGGTGGCAAACACGGGCGTGTCTCGTTCGATGTTTTTCGGCAGAATGTCGACACGGTCCGTGTTTAATGATGACACGGCCATGTTGCATGGCATTTCGGCTAAACCGTTCAAGAATGATGTGTATGCGTAAATTTGAGGCTTCGTAGAGGTACTGTAGCCCTGTTCAGAAAGAAGAGAAAGCATCGAAATCACGAAATTCAAAGAGTACCTCATCGGCTAAAGCATCCATCAAGTCGATGTAACATATAGAGTCCACTGTAGATGGTTGCTTGAAATTCTGGTCAAGCGTGAATTCCACCGTTTCGTCGCCGATCTTGAGTGTTAGTCGGCCGGCCCGAACGTGGACAATGGCATATGCAGTGTTTAGGAATGGCCGCCCTAGAATAATCGGGATTTTGGCGTCTTCGTCCATGTCAAGCACAACGAAATAGACCGGTACGTAGTAATCGCCTACTTTCAGCGGAACGTCCTCGAGAATACCCAGAGGGTATTTGATAGAACGATCAGCTAGTTGAAGAGCCATGCGAGTCGGTTTGAGTTCTCCAACGTTGAGTTTCTTGTAAATGGAGAGTGGTAGGAGACTTACACTGGCACCTAAATCACAAAGAGCACGATCTATAGAAACATTTCCCAGTTTGCAGGGAATCGAGAAGCTATCTGGATCCGACATTTTTGGTGGCAGATCATGTTGAAGAATGGCGCTGCACTCGGGATTAAGCGTGATGGTTTCCTTCTCGATGACGCGCTTCTTTGTGAGAATGTCTTTCAGGAATTTAGTATAGGATGGCATCTGAGTGATAACCTCGTGGAACGGCATAGTAATTTCCAACTTACGCACCATGTCAGCAAATCGAGCAAATTGGGTGTCTTCTTTAGTTTTTCTGAGTCGTTGAGGGAAAGGAACTGGAGGTGGACGTGGCGGCGGTGGAATGTATACATCGCGTTCTTCATCACCCGAGATCTCTGTCGATTTTTCAACAACTATGGGGTCAGGAAGAGATGTAGGGACAGAGTTAGAGCACTGACCTTTTTCCGTAGATGTGATGATAGGGTTAGCGAGCTCTTTGCCACTGCGCAAGCATACAGCGTTACAGTGCTCTCGGGGGTTTGCTTCCGGGTTCCCAGGAAGTGATCCCTGAGGTCGCGAAGGGACAGAGGCAGCAAGTTGCGCTATCTGGTTATCGACTAGTTTGAGATGAGCGTCGGTCTTCTGCTGATGTTCTCGCATCTCGGTGCGAATGGCTTCTTGACCCTGCATAAGTTGTGCAAGCATAGATTTGATGTCAGAGTCAGGACTTACTTGTGATTGAGATGGAGGCAGGCCGAAGTTTTGCTGAGGCTGACGGGGAGCTCGGTAGTGTTGAGGGGCTGGATTCTGATGCTGGTAGGCATTTCGGGGTTGAGATTGATTTCCTTGAGAGGAGCCCGGGATAAATGAACCACCGAAATTGTTGTGCTGTGCATTTAGAGCGTTGGAAGAGTTCTTGTATGAGAAATTTGGGTGATTTCTCCAACCTGGGTTGTATGTGTTTGAGTACGGATTGTTGGCGACGTAGTTGACATTCTCATGCACGTACTCGTCTCGTGGTGCGTCTAGATCAGTGATTTGATGGGCGTTTTCTACCTGCATTCTAAGTTTGGCAAGCTCTGCACGTAAAGCATGTATCTCAGATGGATTTTCCTTACCTGTACGGTTGTCTTTAAAACCGATATTTCTGACGAATTCGTGGGAAGGAGCGCACTCGTTAGCCATCTTAGTGATTTGTTGTTCGATGAAGTCAAAAGACTTCTCATTGAGGCTTCCTCCACAGGCAACTCGAATGAGGACTCGAGTATCTTCCTTTAGACCCTGCAAGAAAGTGGAGATAAGGTACCTTTTGTCCAAACCGTGATGAGGGCAGAGGCGCTGATATCCAAGAAAACGATCCCAAGTCTCGCGCAAAGATTCATCAGGTTCCTGCATAAAAGAGTTGATCTGTTGCTTCGCGAGTTGGGTTTTGCTGGCAGGGAAGAATCGCTGCATGAACTTCTCTTGCATCTGATCCCAAGAGAAGATGAAATCTGGTGGCAGTGTGTAGAGCCATTTTAATGCAGCGTCCATTAGAGAGAATGGAAAAGCCATTAGCATAAGTGACTCATCGGTGACTCCTTGAACCGTCTTCACAGACTGGCATAACAGTTTGAATCGAGTCAGGTGGGGGATTGGATCTTCATTAGGTCTGTCCCTAAATGCCGATGAGCTGAGCATACTGATGAATGTCGACTGCAATTCAAATTTATTGCGATCGATATCGGGCCGGCGAATGCATGAGAGCTGTTGAGTGTACTTGGGTTGAAGATATGCCCCATAAGTATCATTGTCATTCTCGACAGCTAAGGCACGTTCCTCCATCTTCTTCTGTTGTTTTTTCTTCTTCCGAATGCGTTTGACAGATTTCTCGATTTCTGGATCAAAAGGGACTAGGTTGTCAGGCCCAGAACTCCTGGTCATACACCGGGAAACCTACACACCAGAAAAATAGGACAACGAACTAGAATAGATCAGGAACGGGATAAAAGTAACGAGAGAGAATCTAGATTCAAAGGAATCTCTATCCTAGCGCTAAACTATTCCCCGGCAACGGCGCCAAAAACTTGATAACGCAAATCTAGGTGTATAAATAAGCT